CACAAGCAGAGCCAGAAAGGAACTACTTAGTGCCATATAGTCTGTCATGGATACATTACAAACTAATAAATATAATTATAATGTAAGAAATAAAAGTAATGCACACAAGGGCACCAAATTAAGGTTGCACAGGGAATCTCTGCTCCTACTTGCAGTGTCATCCCCTTTTCTCCACTCCCAGTGCCCCCCAATCTAGATCCTGGTGTAACCTATCCCCTTAATGGTTTCCAGTCTTAGTTTCCAGTCCCAACCAGCCCCAAATTATTTCCTCCTCACTGGACCAAACTCCATTCTTTGCCTTCCTTCAATCCCTAATTCTCTCTGTCCTCCCTCTGAGGCACCTTGTTTTGTTCTCTGTCTCTTCCCTATGCACTCTCTTTACTCCTTACCAAGCTCACTCCCCTCTCCACCGTGTTTTCTCCCCCCACCCCATGTCTTTGATTCTTGTTCTCGCTTCTCCTCAGCTTCTGATTTTTCTGTGCTAGAACCAATTTTCATTGTCTTTCTCTAGGGCTTCCACAAGCTCAGCTCCCCCCATGCCCCTCATGGATTTAGAGGTCACTGACCTAAACAGAGCAGGAAGGAGAGAGAGCATTTCCTGCAAGGTGTGAGTATGTATTGGTGGAAGGAGACACAATGTAGCCATGGGGTAAACACAGCTCCTGAGTACTGCCTACTGGCTAATCTGGCTATTGGAGGGGAGAAAGAACTTTACAAGTAACAGTACTATAGTAAGTTTCTTTTTGTCCTTTCATGCTGTAAATATCATTTTGGCTGTCAAAGAGGCTTGTCTGAACTCCTTATACTTATTGTTAGAAAGTTCTAGCAGTTGCTTATCCAGAGCAGTTTAAGTTTCAGGGGTTATATAGAAACTGAGAGCAAAATTAAGTCTCCCCATAACCCTTTCCCAGAATAAAGTTATAATCTTCTGTGTGTGTCTATCATGGCTGCATGGGTTTTTTTCTGGAGCACTTCTATCAGGTACTCTTTGTTTGAGAGACCATTTAAAATTCTGGGATCTTTACAATGTTCATACACCATATCCTTTCCCTGACATTACACTGTTGCCTGTGACTATTTTGAAAGTCAGGCCCATGCTTAACTTTTTGATTTAAAAGAATTCATAGTGGGGTTTTTCATTCTTATAGATTTGCTTTCACAGGGCAAAATGAAGGTCTGGCACTCCAGGGTGTGTGTTAGCCTTGGGATAATGTTTGTGACTGAGAAGTATACAAGGCAAAGAAATAGCTTTTGTGGGTGATTAAATGCTGAAGTGAAGCTGAGGTGTTTGATAACCACAGAAGCCATTTATTGTGTGTATACTCCAGTGCCATGAACATTATTCCTATTATACAACAAGACAAAGGAAGATTCAACAAACCATAACGAGAAAAGAGTGAGAGGTATTTGTTGTAGTGTTTTGCTTGATAGAAGTTTGGAAGTTCTGTGCTGCTGTATTCTCAGATTTTTCCATGTATGTGGAACATTATTGGATGGAGAGTAAAGCCAAGGAAGGGTGTGGCCTGCAGAGGAGAGAAATGTGTTTGGTAAATAAATTATCAATACAAAGTTTCAGCATATTTTCTGAAAGGGAAATATAAGATTTTTCTAGGCTGTGGCTGGGGAGAATCATCCTCTTGCTCTGTAACACCTCATAATTACATACATTGTCAGTGGAAGACACCAGGCCATAACGCTTGCATTACTAGATTATGTTATTGAACAACAGTGTTTACTGTGTCATGCTTTATTGCTCAGGAAGATTACATTAGTCTTGTTCATAATAGGTATATTTTATTTTGTTAAGTTATGGGAAATATGTTCAAGAATAAAAACATGAATTCAAAAATATTTAGTAATGTATAGTAACGTGCATCTTCAGTATACTCTGTAAATGTTCTTTAGTCCTCACAGACACAGCTAATGTGGCTCAAACATTGTTCATAAACATCAGTTTAAATTTGCAAGTGGCTATTTGGTTCTGCATGATGCACACTCTTTTCTTTCCTTCAGCTGATGACAACAGGGTTTTTATTTATTGGTAGTGGAATTCACTGCTACTTGGGGGCCCACTCAAGGCCCATGCTTCACTTCAAAATCTCATTGTAATGCTATTTTGAGTGGGACTTAAGTATGGTGTATGGCTTATGCTGGCCTTTTGTATTTCAATAAATTCCATACCACATTGACACACACATGAATGTGAACAAGGGGGTTAGAGCATGAAAAAGCATGTCAGTTCTTAGCGTTCATTTTTTAGTATCTATTATTTTTCTGTTCACATTTTTTTATTCAAGGAGGGCATGTCTACACACCAGGGCAAAAGTCAAATTAAGCAATTCAACTTCAGCTACATCAATTGCATAACAGAAGTGAAAGTAGCTTAATTCGGCTTTTGGCATTGTTTACACAGCAGGCGGTCAAAGGAAGAGCACTCTTCCTTGGACTTCCCTTACTCCTTGTGAAATAAGAAGTCCTCCAGCTCACCATTATTTTGAAATAATGGCTTGCTGCATAGGCAAGCTCTTTGTTACTTCAGAATAACATCAGTTATTCCGTAATAACGCTGCTGTGTAAACTCACTCTAAGTGAGCAAAAAGAATGCTGTGTGACTTAGGTGACGAGTCACCCGCTCCAAACAATGAAAAGTCAAAAGAAATCATTTGCAAACAATCCTGTGGCTGATAATGTATGTATACAGTGTTTATTAAACAATTGTGAGCAAGGAATAAATTGGTAAAATTCAGTATGCATCTAAATAATTTGTCAGTTGATAAAGTACTATATTTGTCAAAAATATAAAGATAGAAAATAATTCAAACAGCTTTAGTCACAACAAGTCTGTGAAGTATATAAATATTGTTATCCCCATTTTACAGACGCTAAGTTCCTGCATGAGTGGCAGAACTGGATTTGACTTCACAGTGTGTTAAGAGAAAAAACAACTTGTGACTATGACTTTATTGTAGTGTCTGTAGAACTCTGTTATGGGAGATTCTGAAAATTTTATGATACATTTAACTACTGCAAGCAAAAATTGCAGATTTTGAATTGCAGCTACTTTCAGGACTTCCTAATCACCTTCATGTTCATTCTTTTAGGCCATCCAGCATCTACAAATTAAACACAAGTCCCTAAAACATTATATTATTCTCCTCTTTTGTTTGGTGTATACAGGTGAGAATTAAGTGCTTATTAAGGGTGATAGATTGACAACCCTAGAGCCTTTATAGAACACATAGAGCATAACAATAGCCTGTACCTGTTATTCACAAAACAGCAGTGGGTAAGCATTGCCCTCTTGTCCCACTAAAGCAGTGGTTCCCAAACTTTTCGGCATCATGCCCCCTTTTTGATTTTTGAGAAACCCTCACCCTACTTCCCCCTCCCCCCCCCCCCAAATAGCAGCAACAGTTGTTGAGAAAAAAAAAACCTGACTGGGGCTGAAAAACAAAAATAGCAGCAAAACTTGGGCGGGGGGGTATTGACGCGGAGGGGGAGGGGCTATGTCACCTTGAGCCCCCCCTGGAATTTCTTCACGCCCCGCCAGGGGGGCACAGCCCCCAATTTCGGAACCCATGCACTAAAGAGTGTCAGTGCTGACATGACCTTTCAGGATGACCAGATACTGTAGTTCATGTTTCAGATCCACTCCAAACTTAGCTTCTTTGCTGAAACTACTAATTTGTTGTGTTCTGTAGACTCATTTCACATAGTTTCAACTGCCTGATGATTCTCAGCTGATTAAAAATGTTCACTAACTAACAAGCTGTGAGATGTCACCATCTGATTGTACTATATTTTACACACCACCACATGTGGTTTTACAGCTTGGTGCCCTCTTCTGTGACATGCTAAACTAACACCCTAACACACACATTTTTTCATTCCAATGATTGATTACTCTAAGTAGCCTTGAAATGCCTAGCAGTTGTTCAAAATGAAGGCACTCTCTCATTGCTATTCTTGACCATATTTCATATTATTTACAGTATCTAAACATTTTAAACATTCATTTTAAATGATAGCTGCTACTTGGTTGTTTATGGAAAGTAAAAATGAACTAATGGGAAGTTTATTTTTGTGTATAATATAAGCCTCGACAAAAAAGGGTTTTAGACTGTCTGATTTGCAGTTGTTTTCAGTTATAAATTTCCATATGAATTATAGGATAATATTTCTGCTCTAGAGTGGAATGTGGATACAGCTTTCTTTGTGGCATACAACATTAATGTGCATATTTAAATGACAAATAAAGTTCTACTCATTCTAAATTATCTCGAATGACTATAGTCTGAGGAAAAGGACTGTTCTACTCAGATGTATCATTTAGAGCTTGTTTTCATTCTCCTATTATGTGACCTAATTTTTTTTTAAATGAAACTGAGAGTTGTGCTCTCCTTTTGTTTTACCCAGCAGATGTTATTGCCATTATCTACTTAATTTGAAAGCTGCAGCGATTTTCACTGTTTCTTCCTTTGAGTGTCATTGCTGTATAAAAAAATGTGAGTGTAGCACAGGTCATTTCAAGTTACACCCAGAATGCTGGCCTGACCTTAGAAATAATAATCTTGTCCTTAAGCCCAAGTGAACATGGCTGGCTATAGCGCCAATATGCAGTTAAGAATATGTAGAATAATAGAACAACAAAAGAGTGGTGGTTATGAGAAAAATAGCATTGTGAAAATACCATTGAAGGCCAAATTCTGCTTAGACTTAATACAATTCTATGTAAATTGCACTGATATGGAGTGTAAATCAGGTCAGGAATTGGCCCTTTATAGTTTAATATTTATGCTCTGTTAATTATTTCAATATAAAACTTGCTCAGCTTGCAAATTAAATCTAATATAAATTATACCTGTCAGCGCTGCAAACTCAGAATGATATTTATAAACTGTGCTGTATTCTTTCTGGTTCATACATCATCACCAATAATAAAGATTCTGGAATCAGAACTTAGCTGGCAAGTTTGTTGATGATGCATGAGATAGGGTAGACCACAGCTCTTTCCACAGCTGCACTGACTGCAAATCTGACACTCTTTAAAATATTGTCACTAAACATTTATCGTCTGAAAGATGCCATATGGTTCACCAGCATCTGCTAACAGCAAACATCCAATGGCCTATCCAATGGCCAAACATGGCACGGTAGGTGGGGAAGGCTCTGAGTTACAACAGAGAATTGTTTCCCGGGTGTCTGGCTGCTGAGTCTTACCCACATGGTAATGGATCGCCATATTTAGGGACAGGAAGGAATTTTCCCCTCAGGTCAAATGGCACAGATCCTAGGTTTTTTTCATCTTCCTCTGCAGCAGGTGGCACAGATCACTTGCTGGTTTGAACTAAACTAAATGATGGATTTTCTGTAGCTTCCAATACTGAAATCAAGATTTCAGAACTTCAGTATCTCAAGCAGAGATTATGGGCCTGTTACAGGATTGGGTGGGTGAGGTTCTTGGCCTCCAATGTACAGGAGGTCAGAGTGGATTATCATGATTGTCCCTGCTGGCCTTCAAGTCTATAATACAAAGGGTAAAAAATACAAAATCTAAAAAGGACCCCTTTTTGTAGTCATTGTCCTGACCACTACCCAATTTAAAAGACTAGAAGGAGGCTATGTGTCATCAATATCTATCTTTCTAACCCTGAGAAATCTGTACTGGGTTTATTGTAATTTTCATCATTTTCACCTCATAAATCTCCCTCATAATTCTTATTTCTAAATCCTTTCCCCAAAAATGGGTCTGTTCCAAAATGTACTTGTGCTTCTTGTTTCTATAACTTAGTTTGACAATTTGTTCCCTATTTTAGCTACCCTTCATGTGTTGCCTATAATAATATTAAACAGAGTTGGGTATGGTCAGTATTTGGGTCACAGACCTACAAGAAAAACAGAAGGTACTGCCTAAAATGGTATTCGTAAATCAGTAGGTGACATTCTTTCCTCTGAGTCACTGCAGATTCTATTGGTGCCTTAATATAGTAATAGAAGCCTGGGTCCGTAGTGCAAAAGATTTCAGGATTATGATTTTTAATGCAAAGGAAATGTAATGGATTGAATAACTGGTTGGAATTAACACAGTGCACAAGTTTCTTCATTATATAAACAATAAAAACTGTAAGAATATTACCAGGGAAAATTTTTTGATCTAGAGATAGAAACTCTTAGGTATCAAATCAATGTTTGTGGTATTAAAATAGAAAAAATAGAAAAGCACATGATTTAGACAGAGATATTGCTGAGGGAAGGATATATTAATGGAGATTCTCTATGTCCAAATAAGGAGGAGAGGATAGAAATGGTAAAATACAGGCAGGATCTGATCAGAAACAGTCAAATGAAAAAAAATTTTATTTGATTACATCATGAAATGGCAGATAACTAAAAAGTGGCAAGTTTGCAACATGGTTATATACCCAGGCTTGAAGTAGAATAATAAAATGAGTGAACTAAAGTGCCTTGTATTGAATGAGGATATTGATATAATAGGCACCACAGAAGCTTGATTGAATAAGGATAACCAATAGGACACAGTAATACCAAGATATAAAATATATCAGAAGGACAAAACAGGTTGTGCTGATGGGGCATGACAATACAGGCAGTCCCCGAGTTACCCCTGGTCATGGGGCATGACAATACAGGCAGTCCCCGAGCTACCCCTAGTCACCAACAGACCAGGGAGACGGGGAGCAAAGCCGCGGAGGACCCGGGCAGCGGGACCGCGGTGCATCTCGGTCCCCCGCCCGCGTCTCCCTGGTCTGTTGGAGACCAGCAGACCAGGGAGACGGGGAGCAAAGCCGTGGAGCACGCTGGCAGCGGGACAGCCCAGATGCGCCGCGGCTGTCCCGCTGCCGGCGTCCTCAGAGGCTTTGCTCCCCATCTCCCTGGTCTGTTGGAGACCAGCAGACCAGGGAGACGGGGAGCAAAGCCGTGGAGCACGCTGGCAGCGGGACAGCCCAGATGCGCCGCGGCTGTCCCGCTGCCGGCGTCCTCAGAGGCTTTGCTCCCCATCTCCCTGGTCTGTTGGAGACCAGCAGACCAGGGAGACGGGGAGCAAAGCCGTGGAGCACGCTGGCAGCGGGACAGCCCAGATGCGCCGCGGCTGTCCCGCTGCCGGCGTCCTCAGAGGCTTTGCTCCCCATCTCCCTGGTCTGTTGGAGACCAGCAGACCAGGGAGACGGGGAGCAAAGCCGTGGAGCACGCTGGCAGCGGGACAGCCCAGATGCGCCGCGGCTGTCCCGCTGCCGGCGTCCTCAGAGGCTTTGCTCCCCATCTCCCTGGTCTGTTGGAGACCAGCAGACCAGGGAGACGGGGAGCAAAGCCGTGGAGCACGCTGGCAGCGGGACAGCCCAGATGCGCCGCGGCTGTCCCGCTGCCGGCGTCCTCAGAGGCTTTGCTCCCCATCTCCCTGGTCTGTTGGTGACCAGGGGTAACTCGGGGACTGCCTGTATATCTGAAAGACAGTGTAGAATCAAATGAAATAAAAATCTTTAATTGACCAAACTGTACCATGAAATCTCTATGGATAGTAATTCCATGCTCTAATAATAAAAATATAGCAATAGGGATGTATTACCAATCACCTGACCCACCGGGTGATAGTGACTGTGAAATGCTCAGGGAGATTAGAGATGCTATTAACATTTTAAAAAAAAAAGTTCAGTAGTAATGGGGGATTTCACTATTGACTGGGTGGGAGCATGTCACCTCTGGATGTAATACAGAGATAAAGTTTCTTGACCCTCTAAATGACTGCTTCTTGGAGCAGCTGATCCTGGAACCCACAAGAGAAGAGGCAATTCTTGATTTAGTCTTAAATGGAGCCCATTTAAGACCATTTAGTCTTAAATGGTCCAAGCAGTAAATATAACTAGACTGCTTGATAATGGTAACCATAATATATTTAACATACCTGTGGCAGGAAAAATGCCACAGCTGCCCAAGAGCATAGCATTTCATTTTAGAAAGGGGAACTAGACAAAATGAAAAAGTTAGTTAAACAGGCATTAAAAGGCACAATGCTAGAAGTGAAATCTCTGCAAGCTGCATGGAAACTTTTTGAAAACACTATGAGAGGCTCAACTTAAATATATGCCCCAAACTAAAAAAAAAATACATAAAAAGAGAACTTTAAAAGTGCCATTGTGGCTAAACAACAAAGTAAAAGATTCATTGAGAGGCAAAAAGGCTTCATTTAAAAAGTGAAAGTTAAATCCTAGTAAGGAAAATAGAATGCAGCATAAACTCTGGCAAATGAAGTATAAAAATGAAGTTAACAAGGCCAAAAAAGAATTTGAAGAACAGCTTGCCAAGGATTCAAAGTAAAAGCCAAAAATATTTTAAGTACATTAGAAGCAGAAAGTCTGCTAAACACCAGTGGAGCCACTGGACAATCAAGATGCTAAAGAATCACTCAAGGAAGATAAGGCCATTGTGGAGGAAGTTAATGAATTTTTTGCATTGGTCTTCACAGCTGAGGACATGAGAGATTTTCTCAAACCTGAGTCATTCTTTGTAGGTTACAAACCTGAAGAACTGTCCCAGATTGACCTGTTATTAGAGGCAGTTTTGGAGCAAACCGATAAACAGTAATAAAGTCACCAGAACCAGATGGTGTTCACCAAAGATTTCTGAAGGAACTCGAATGTGAAACTGAAAAACTATTAACTCTAGTCTGGAATCTATCATTTAAATCACTTTCTGTATCAAATGACTGGAATATAGCTAATCTGATGCCAATTTTTAAAAAGGGCTCCAGAGATTATTTTAGTAATTACCAGTTGGTAAGCCTAATTTCAGTATCAGGAAAACTGGTTGAAACAATAGTGAAGAACAATATTGTCATATCACATAATTTATTGATAAAGGGAAATCATGCCTCACCACCAAATAGAATTCTCTGACGGAATTGTTGCTTAAAGACAACGCAGAGTGAAGGCTTGTTTTCTTCCACAGAATCAACAAGCATGTGCACAATGGGGGTCCCATGGTTATAGTGTACCTAGATTTTCAGAAAGATTTTTTGACTAGGCCCCTCAACAAGGGCTCTTAAGCAAAGTAAGATGCCATGAGAAGAAGAAGAAAGGTCTTTTTACGGATTGGTAACTGGTTAAATGGAGAGAAGTAAATAGTTGTTTGTGTTCCCCAAGGGCCTGTTCTTGGACCAGTCCTATTCAACATATTCATAAATGACCTGCTAAAAGGGGCAAATAGAAATTAAAATTTGCAGAAGATACAAAACTACTCAAGATAATTAAATTGTAGGCAGAGTATGAAGAGATACAAAAGGATCTCATAAAAGTGGGTGACTGGGCCAAAAAAATGGCAGATGAATTTTAATGTAGATAAATGCAAAGTACTGCCCATTGGAAAACAATTCCAATTATACATATAAAATGACGGGGTCTAAATTAGCTTTTAACACTCAAGAAAGAGATCTTGGCATCATTGTGAAAAATTTTCTGAGAACATCCACTCAACATGTATCAGCAGTTTAAAAAAAACCCAGCATGTTGGGAATTATTAAAAAAAGGGATAGATAATAAGACAGAAAATATCATATTGTCTCTATATAAATCAATGGTATGCCCACATCTTGAATACTGTGTGAAGATATAGTTGTCCCATCTGAAAAAATATATATTGGAATAGGGCAACAAAAATATATATCAGAAAAGGGCAAGAAAAAAGATTTAAGGGTATGGATTGTTTTCATATGAGGAGATTTTAATGACGGGAACTTTTCAGCTTGGAAAAGAGGTGACTAAAGGGGGAGGGATAAGATTGAGGTCTATAAAATCATGACTGGTGTAAAGAAAGTAGATAAGGAAGTTCTATCTACTCCTTCACATAACACAAGAACTAGGAGTCACCAAATGAAATTAATAGGCAGCAGATTTAAAACTAACAAAAGGAAGTATTTCTTCACACAATGAATAATCAACCTATAAAACTCTTTGCCAGAGGATACTATGAAGGCCAAAACTATAACCGGATTCAAAAAAGAACTAGATAAATTCATGGAGGATAGGTCCATCAATGGCTATTAGCCAGGATAGGCAGGGATGGAGTCCCTAGCCTCTGTTACCTTTAAGCTGGGAATGGGTGACAAGGTGTGGATCACTTGATGATTACCTTTTCTGTT